CAGGACTCTCTTCATGGTAAATACGGTCCCTACGGAACTAGTTTTGGCTGCATGAAAGGAAGCCCCACCAAGGTTCACTACCCAGTCACATGCTAATGTGCTTCATTCAGTGTCTTGTGGGTGCACTCTCTCACTGAGGCACCATGGAAGGGCAGCCAAGTCATCCAGGATGTACTGATGCCAACTCACTTGTGCACAGTGCCGTAGCAAAGGGTGGGGGCAAGGCAAGCGGGGCAACTGCCCCGGGCACCAAAGCAAAGGGGCGCCAATAGGTACTGCCCAGCCGGGGCGGGGCACAGGATGGAGCCATGAGCAAGTGGCTCACCTGGGGTGGTGGGGGGTGGCATGGGAACAGTAGAAGGGCAGTTCCTGCTGCTGTGTGCACTCCTGGGTAAGCATGGGGGGTATGTGCCCCCCAGATCTGTGTGTGGGGGGAGGGCAAGCTGCCACTGCAGGCTTTGTCCTGGGCGCCAAGCTTCATTGCTACGGCACTGCTTGTGCAGCACCATGATTGTGCAAATACACCTGAAAAAGGGTCTTGTGGAAACACAGATCCCTCCCATGTGCTCTATGGGATCAGGCAACTCTCATAAGCTGGTCACAAATGCACAGCAGTTACTCAGAGTGTAAAAAAGACCTAAGAAAATGTTATGTTGGGGTGTGGCCTTTCTCAGGACTGCTATCTCAAATATCCTCCATGTGCATCATAGAACCATAGAAAATGAGGGTTTGAAGGAACCTCAGGATGTCACCTAGCTCAACCCCCTGCTCAAGGCAGGACCATCCCTAACTAGATCATTCCAGCCAGGGCTTTGTTGAGCCAGGCCTTAAAAACCTCCAAGAATGGAGATTCTACCACCTCACTGGGTAACTTGTTTCAGTGCTTCACCACCCTCCTAGTAAGAAGATTTTTCCTAATATCGAAACTAGACTTTCCTTGCTGCAACTTGAGACCATTGCTCCTTGTTCTGTCATTTGTCACCACTGAGAACAGTCCAGCTCCACCCTCTTTGGAACCACCCTTCAGGTAGTTAAAGCCTGCTATGAAATCCCCCCTCCATCTGTTCTTCTCCAGACTAAATAAGCCCAGTTCCCTCAGCCTCTCCTCATAAGTCATGTGCCACATCCCCATCACCATTTTTGTTGTCTTCCACTGAACTCTCTGACTTATCCATGCCCTTTCTGTAGTGGGGGGCCCAAAACTGGACACATTACTCCAGATGTGGCCTCACCAGTGCAGAATAGAGGGGAATAGTTACTTATCTCAATCTCCTGGCAATGCTCCTACTAATGCAGACCAGTAGGCTGTTAGCCTTTTTAGCAACAAGGGTACACTGTTGACTCATATCCAGTTTATTGTTCACTGTAACTCCCAGGTCTTTTTCTGAAGAGCTGCTGCCTAGCCAGTTGGTCCCAAGCCTGTACCAGTGCATGGGATTGTTTCATCCTAATTGCAGGGCTTTGCACTTGTCCTTGTTGAACCTCATGAGATTTCTTTTGGCCCAATCATCCAGTTTGTCTAGGTCACTCTGAATCCTAGCTCTACCTTCCAGCACATCTACTATTCCCCACAGCTTGGTGTCACCTAGGAACTTGCTGAAGGTGCAATCCATCCCACCTTCCAGATAGTTAATGAAGATATTGAACAAAATAGGTCCCAGGACTGATCCCTGGGGCACTCCACTTGATACCAGCCGTCAACTAGCCCTTGAGATATTGATCACTACCCACTGAAAATAGGAATCCACCCAGCTTTCTATCCACCTTACAGTCCATTCATCCAACCCATACTTCCTTAGCTTGCTTGCAAGAATGCTGTGGGAGACCATATCAAAAGCCTTGCCAAAGTCAAGGTATATCACATCCACTGCTTTCCCCGCATCCACAGAGCCAGTCTTCTCATCATACATGGCAATCAGATTGGTCAGGCATGACTTGACTTGCTCTTGCTGAATCCATGTTGACTGTTCCTGATCACTTTCTTCTGCTCCAAGTGCTTAAAATGGATTCCTTCAGGACCTGCTCCATGATTTTTCCAAGGACTGAGGTGAGGCTGATTGGTCTGTCGTTCCCCTGGATCCTCCTTCTTCCCTTTTTTTAAGGATGGTCACTAGATTTGTCCTTTTGCAATCATTCCAGACAACCTCCCCTGATCACTCTGAGTATTCAAAGATAATGGCCAGAGGCTCTACAATCACACTAGCCAACTCCCTCTACACCTCAGATGCATTGCACCCAGCCCCATGGACCTGTACATGTCCAGCTTTTCTAAATAGTCCCTAACCTGTTCCTTCACCACTAAGGGCTGTTCACCTTTGCCACAAACTGTGCTGCCCGGTGCAGTAGTCTGGGAGCTGACCTTGCCTGTGAAGACTGAAGTAAAAGAGGCACTGAGTACTTCAGCCTTTTCCTCAGTGTCTGTCACTAGGCTGCCTCCCCCATTCAGTAAGGGACCCACACTTTCCCTGATCTTCCTCTTGTTGCTAACATACTTGTAGAAACCCTTCGTGTTACCCTTTACATCCCTTGCTAGCTACAAT